CCTCACTTTCACTATTAAACTCTAATAACATGTAAATGTTTTTAAGACAACTATAATTGTGCACTATTTTTTCCATTAAACACTTCCTGTGATTTAAAATTCTAAATCTAAGTCATTATATAAATCAAAATAACATTTAAGATGTTTTCTTATATGAAATTTAAACCAATTTTAGGAAATTTCGTGCAATAAGTGCTGTGAACTTGAAACACAACTTTTTGATGTTAATAATGAAAACCAGAAGTTAAACGAGAAATTGAATGCAACACAAAAAGCATTAAATGAATTAATAGCCAAATATGCACTTAAGGAAGAACTCAATAATTTATTACTTCAAAGGAATTACAACAAAAATACTGTTATTGACAGTAAGATTGGTTTAAATTGTTTACATACTCTGTATTTAAGAAATATTATAATTTTGTATATAATTGTATGAATTCTCGTATAACAGAAAACAGTTATACAATCGGGTCTGCGATGACCAGTGAAGATGAAGGTCTTGGGGACGACACTCGGAGAGATCACTCTTCAGGTCCCAGTAGTTTAGCTGATCTGCACGAACCAGAGTATGACGCCATCAGTGAGAAGTCGACACAATCGACCTCCGAGTTAAGTGATAAGGAGGTATCCACTGATAACTGTATTGCAAATGTGGAGCGAGTGAGGGCTGAGAGGGAACAACAGCCAGAATCAGTTGAATCGGACAAAGAGCAGCACTTGAGACTAGAGGTGATGAGAAGCAGTGATATAATCGAAAAGTTGAAACAAAGTATAGAAGAGCTAAAGGAAGGAAAGGCTAATTTGGAGGAACAGGTTCTCGAACTCGAAGAGGCAGAGAACGACTCCAGACTTATGAGCCAACGATTGCAGCAACAAATGCAGACTTTTGTAGACGACTACGAAAAGCTAGAATTGGAGTTAATTAATGCCAACAAAACTATAGATCTGAACAATAATAGGATTAAGAGTTTTGAGACAATAGAAACTGATTTAAGGCATCAAATAGAAGAAATGAGAAGTATTTTATTGAAACACTATTTTGTAGACAATAATTGCAATCGAAGTGAAAAGCGATTCGAGAGAATGGAGACAAAGAGAAACGTTCAGCAAAACAATGATCTGTTGAATAGAATTCAAGTTTTGGATAATAAAGACAAACGAAGTGAACACAACTCCATGTGTCCACAAGTGGATGGTCTGTATTCAGTTGTCTGGGAAAAGCTCTACCGATTGGAGAATCAAATCGATTGTTTGAGACAATCATACAGTCAGACAAACCAAACCCATTGCACTCAAGACTCTGACGATGACTTACAGCTATTTATTTCGGCTGAAAAGCTCTCGGAAGGCGTTTCCAAAATAGGCTGTTCTTTCCAAGTGAGTCACTTCGACACCACTCGGGACCAGACATACAACCACTGCTCGGCCAGTGTCCGACTCGACGATCTCGTGCTGTCAATGCCGTTGTGCGAAGCCGTCAAACCCGAACGCATCGATGTTATGGTCGCCAATCAAAGTCAGTCAAAGAGCACATCATTATCTCATTCATTGCCACCAGAATTGATGAATAAATTAAGTAAATTAGAAACAAATGAGCAGCAATTGAGGGAACGATTAGTACAGTTAGAGTTTGTGAACAAAGAGTTTGTTCGGGAGCTTGAAATGAGGGAAAAGATCTTTTTCGAGAGAGAACTAAATCAAAGCGATTGGACTAATAGTGAGAATGAGTTCAAACATGCAATAAATGAACTCAAAAATCAAATCAAACTCTTTGAACTCAAAGAACATGATTTGGAAACACAAATCAATAATTTGAGTGAAAATATTGTATCAATTTATAAGAACATTGAAGAGAAACAAAGTGAACACGAAATGAAATTAAATGAAATAACAAATGATAGAAATAATAGCTTAATTGGTTTGAAACAACACGTTATACAACTGGAATCCAAAGAATGTGAACATAAGACACAAATTGAATCACTTGACTGTCAAGACATTGTCTTTCCAAGTGAGTCACTTCGACACCACTCGGGACCAGACATACAACCACTGCTCGGCCAGTGTCCGACTCGACGATCTCGTGCTGTCAATGCCGTTGTGCGAAGCCGTCAAACCCGAACGCATCGACGTTATGGTCGCCAATCTTCGTCAGTCAAAGAGCACATCATTATCTCATTCATTGCCACCAGAATTGATGAATAAATTAAGTAAATTAGAAACAAATGAACAGCAATTGAGGGAACGATTAGTACAGTTAGAGTTTGTGAACAAAGAGTTTGTTCGGGAGCTTGAAATGAGGGAAAAGATCTTTTTCGAGAGAGAACTCAATCAAAGCGATTGGACTAATAGTGAGAATGAGTTCAAACATGCAATAAATGAACTCAAAAATCAAATAAAACTCTTTGAACTCAAAGAACATGATTTGGAAACACAAATCAATAATTTGAGTGAAAATATTGTATCAATTTATAAGAACATTGAAGAGAAACAAAGTGAACACGAAATCAAATTAAATGAAATAACAAATGATAGAAATAATAGCTTAATTGGTTTGAAACAACACGTTATACAACTGGAATCCAAAGAATGTGAACATAAGACACAAATTGAATCACTTGACTGTCAAGACATTGATTCAGAAAATAATGTCAAACAAGTGAATGAAGATTTTGAACAAATTAGGGCTGAATTGGAAAAAGAAAGAGATTTGATATCAAAAACCAATGAAGAGTTCTCAACAAAAATAGATACTTTAGTTGATTACCACAAACGTTGCGAAACTAATCTTAAACAAGAGATACAAGAACTTGAGTCTCAAAAACTGAATGCCACGAAAGAAATGGAAATAATTTTCGATAAAAAGATTTTTCTCACAAACTTACTGAATGACAAGGAAAATGAATTGAAAAAAGTAATTGATTTAATTGATTATTTTTATTTATTACTAGTTTTATAGCATGATAATTATTTTAAGGATATACAGTGCTATTTAACGCGATATCTATTTCATGTTGTTAAGTACTTTAATTAGTAAAAAAATATAATGTCTTAAAATAATAAGTTTTAAAACAAATTTTAGGTGAGAAACACATACGAGAAGAGAATGGAGATCTTGTGTGAAGAGCACAAACTGGTGGAGAAGGAGTTGAAAATGAAGATGAGAGAGATGGCCGGCCAGACCTCGTCGACAGTCAATCAATTAGAGGCCGAGAGAAACAAAATCATCCGACAATTAGACGAGAGTTTCGTTCAAATCAAAGATAAAGAGTTGGAATTCACGGCAAATATTAATGATTTGAATGAAAAGGTAGAGACAATTGAAAGAAAAATCTTGAGATTAGTGAACAATAAGAGTAATTTCGATGAATTGGAAAACGAGAGGAAAAAATTGAAAAACGAAATCAATTCGATTCAGTCGTGTGAAGAGGAACTGAAGAGGAAGTTGAATGAAATGATGCAAAAAGAGTCGGCATATGAGGAGACGCTGTCAGAGGCGGACAAAATCATAGCAACTCTTGAACACAACTATAAGCAACGGATTGACGAGTTGGAGGTCTCGAAGACAAACCTTGCGCTAAGGGTCGCACAACTCGAGGAAAGTGAGTCGCGATTGCGGTCGAGCGTCAGACCTGACAGACCGGACAGGAGGGCCAACGATTGCTATGGAAAGGCCAGTGATCTCGTCAAACAACTCATTGACTCCGAAGCCAGAGAGTGCTCTCTGAAGCAACAAATCAAGACTCTCGAGGTATCTGTCAATGAATTGCAGCGACAATTAGATGACACCATTCATAGCAAACAGCGTATGGAGAGTGAACTCTTTGATCAGGACGAGTTGGTCGAGACTNTGAATGAATTGCAGCGACAATTAGATGACACCATTCATAGCAAACAGCGTATGGAGAGTGAACTCTTTGATCAGGACGAGTTGGTCGAGACTGTCAACCATTTGCGGCAACAAATCGATTCATTACAAGTAGTAACACATCTCTAACATGAGTTACAAAACTATTATTTATATCAAATAGACGCCAAAATGAAAACCTTGAGCCAAAATCATTAAATTATTTACTGTTATATCTATACTCGAATAGTTCCTATACTATTGAATACATTGCATATTTTAAAATCTCCTTGTTTACTGTAACTCTATTTAATAATTGAAATTATTTTTCACTTTCCTATTGTAGAAATAAATGCATAATAAACAAATTTATTTATCAAAGTGTCACAATAATTATATTAAATTTTATTTTTATCATTTAGTTCAAATATGTCCAAGTACTTTATTTTCTATACTATAAACATTAAATTCATTTGCGATGATCGGTTAACAATGATTTTGATCACGTTAATCCCAAATGAGTCATACTATTGATAAATAACCAAGCAATCAATATGATACACACTTCAGATTTCTAACCGTAAGAAGCGTTCATAGAGAGGGGCAAAAGGGGGCAAAAGATTGGTGTCAGACGTTATTGATGTGGAAAGAGTGTCATTGAAATGCATTCAATTGGTTGCGAGTGTTGTGAAGGGAACCAATGGGAAGAGGCATCCAATCATATGACAGTTGAGAGTCATATGAATATGAATTGACACCATTCATAGCAAACAGCGTATGGAGAGTGAACTCTTTGATCAGGACGAGTTGGTCGAGACTGTCAACCATTTGCGGCAACAAATCGATTCATTACAAGTAGTAACACATCTCTAACATGAGTGAAGAAACTATTATTTATATCAAATAGACGCCAAAATGAAAACCTTGAGCCAAAATCATTAAATTATTTACTGTTATATCTATACTCGAATAGTTCCTATACTATTGAATACATTGGATATTTAAAAATCTCCTTGTTTACTGTAACTCTATTTAATAATTGAAATTATTTTTCACTTTCCTATTGTAGAAATAAATGCATAATAAACAAATTTATTTATCATAAGTGTCACAATAATTATATTAAATTTTATTTTTATCAATTAGTTCAAATATGTCCAAGTACTTTATTTTCTATACTATAAACATTAAATTCATTTGCGGTGATCGGTTAACAATGATTTTTATCACGTTAATCCTAAATGAGTCATACTATTGATAAATAACCAAGCAATAAATATATGATACACACTTCACAATTCTAACCGTAAGTAGCGTTCATAGAGAGGGGCAAAAGGGGGCAAAAGATTGCTGTCAGACGTTATTGATGTGGAAAGAGTGTCATTGAAATGCATTCAATTGGTTGCGAGTGTTGTGAAGGGAACCAATGGGAAGAGGCATCCAATCATATGACAGTTGAGAGTCATATGAATATGAAT